AATTACATGTAAAGATAGTTTTCAGCATTCATTTTTGTAAAATTTTGAGTTCCAAATTTTTCTACCCCCCCACGAAAAGACAGCAAGCAGTCTGATATGGGTTATCCATGTACAATCTTGTTAAGCATACTCAGGATCTCTTTTTCCTTTTGTCTTTGTATACCCAGTTCCTTTCACATAGGTGGGGTCTATACCCAGCTGCCTTCCTAGTTCACCCTTTGTACTTTATGATTTCATTGATGTAGAACAGTGGTGTCAAAGTTAGATATCAGTAGGAATTACTAAATTAGTATGTACATAAGAATCCCCCAGACAGCATGTTGACTTAGAAAACTACATATTAACATTATCCATGTTCTGTTTTATTTTGTTAAACATTTACCAGTTTACATTTTAATCTGGTTCATGCCTTGGGAGTGTTGCTGGCTATGTATATATCAATGAGTTTTTGTAAGATATGCAATATCCATATCCATCATCCCCTACTTCTGAATAGGGAGGTGCCTACTCTTATCACTTCTTTGAGACCAAGTTTGGTCATCAGAATAACACAAATCAATTTCAATTTTAATTTGTTCCTCAATAATACATGCTTACTTTAAAATGAATTGTTATTCTTTTTTGTTTTTAAGTCACCTGCATTTCTCAATGTATTTTCCTCCCCCCTTCTTTTTATGTAAATGCCACTCTGTTACTCCCTATTCCAAAGAACTATCCCTTATAATAAAGAATTAAAAACACTGAGGAAAAAGCAGCTCAGTAAAATGAAACGACATATCTAAAAGCCTGCCATCATAAAGAAAGAAAGGTTCTGACATTTTCCTATCCCTTCTTTGAGGCCAGGATTGGTCACTTAGGATTTTGCAGGATGTCATCTGGTTTTTGTTCTTTTCACTTACCTGGTCTTAATAGTCATTGTGCATATTGTTTTCTTAGTTTGACTTCCTTTTCTTTACGTCAGTTCTGTGCCTTGCCTTACCTTGTAAAGGATACTGTTAAGAGAGTTGTTTTGCATATAACTGGCACTTTATAAGTGTTTATAGGATTGTATTGGAAAAAGATTAAGTGATAGACCTACACAATAACTGTCAGACCTGAGATTTGAGCCCAGTTCTTCTTACTTCAGTCTCTTACACATAAATAAATAACACTTAAATGCTCATTGGAATTGATTGTTTTAGGCTGACAAATTTATAAACTTGGCTATAGATATGACCAGGTTAATTATCACTACTTCCTCCTGACTTTCCTAACTTATAGAATCACTGAATCTATGAATCACTGAATTGTAAGGGCTTCTAGTCCAATTTATACCTAAACACAAATCCTTTCAATAATATAACATGTAACCATCCCAGGGGTGGGGAACCTTTGGCCTCAAGGCCACATGTGACCCTCTAGGTCCTCAAGTGCAGCCCTTCGAACGAATCCAAACTTCACAAAAGAAATCCCTGTTATAAAAGGATTTGTTCTGAAAACTTGGATGGGGGGTGGGGGAGAATCACCTTGGACTCAATCAAAAGGCCTTGCCCAAACATCTAGAAGGCCACATATGGCATTGAGGCCCCAGGTTCCCCACCCCTGAATTCTCTAGTCTTCCCTTAAAGATTTCAGTTAAGCACAATCTACTGGCTGTAATCCTTAGCAAATTTTCACTAACATCCTTCATCCACCTGCTTTTTTATCTATGAAAGTGGCAGCTTAATGAGGCACTCTGAATTCGAGACTCTACCAACCCATCCACATTCTCATCCTTGGTCTCCTCATGACAAAATGGCACATCTAACCAAGGAGTTTGCCAGGGTTAGGGCTCAGTCTGTTCATGGGTTTGAGGCATCAGGCAGTGAAATCTACTGTTGAAGAACAATAATAAAAAAATAAGGCAAACAATTAATTTTCTTTAGGTTTATTCAGTTGATAAGGCTTATTCAGTTCAATCCTCCTACTTGATTGGGAGGCTGTATTATTAGAAATTGGAGTAGTGTATATGGGCTGGAAGATATTCCTGAAAGGTTTTTTACAAGAATGAAGAGCCTGAGCTAAGCCTTGAGAGATAGTTAATGATACCCATTATACCATATGTACTGTGCAAACTTACAGAATACTCCTTATAGTAGCCCTACAAAGGTAAGAACTGTTAAGTGTTCTTATCTCCAATTTGGATCGGATCATAGATTTACAGCTGCAAGAAGTGTTAGTGATCTTCCCGTGTACCCCTCTGCTACCAAATCTTTTTATTAAGGGGTTTGTTCTGGAAAGTTTGGATTTAGTGAAAGGGCCACACTTGAGGTCCTATAGGGCCACACTTGACCTTGAAGCCGAAGGTTCCCCACCCCTTATCTAGTGGTACAACCTTCCTTCCCATTTTGCCAATGGGGAGACTGAAAGCCTAAAATACTGCGATTTGTTTAAGGCCACAACATCTGTAAAATCACAAAACCAGGATCTTGAATCTAAGTCTTCTGACTCAGGAGTCTAGCATTCCTTTCATTAAATAACAGTAGAGCTTAGGTAGGTACAGAGGAGAGAGGATGATTGATTATTCAAGGTGATGAGAATAACCTCACGTGTAAGAGTGAAAATGCACTACTGAGGAGTGCTCAGATAGTGTAGTGAAATTGGGGAGACATCGGAGCAGAAGACCCAGCCCTGGTAGATACTGGAGTATGGAGATCCCTGGAGCACAGTCCAATGAGGCATAGCTGGAGCCTCTGACCAGGGAGCAGAAGGACTGTGGTAACTCAGGATGTAGATCCCTACTATGTGGCAAGCTAGGAAAAGAAAGGGAAACTGTGGTATAGGTTGAAACAGGAGAACAACTTGTATCAGGGTTAGAAGAGATGTCCAAAACTTTTTGGGAGCTTAAAATCTGATGACATATACTTGAGATTTAGGTGTTGGAGGGGGCTTTGGCTTCAGATTGGTATGTTTTTTTTTCTTCTCCTAAATGTTGCTTTTCAAAATTCACCTGTCATTTCCTTCAAGACAATACAAAGTGAAGTCAGCAGATTGAGAGAATGCTTATTGACAGTGGACACATATGTATGTGTCCCCGTATTGTTTCCTTGCTTCTTTTCACTGAAATTGCTCTTGGATGCAATACTCTGCCACCCTAACACAACCCCCTTGAGCCTTCTATAGTGACAAAGAAAACCAGTGTAGTGCAAGCAAACCATCAGCTGAACTTGGAAAGTGAAAGCACGCTTGCCCCTTGCCCCTCACCCCTCACCCCCCATCTAGCCTTCATAGACCTGAAGCTAGAAGAGATCTTATAGGTCAGCTAGTCATTTTACAGATGAGGAAATTGAGGCCATGATTTCTTGCCCCAGGTCACTGAAGTTTGGACCTGGATTTTCTGACTCCTATAGCCTTTCTCTACTACATGGTGCTACCCCTGTATAATGGAAAATTTCTTCATTTATTTGCTGGGACTAAGATTATTTGCTATAATTTTTTAACATGTCTCTTCCTTTTAGCATTCTTTTGTTTATATGTAATTTATATTTTCAGAAGCTATCAACAATCTTTTAAGTACATAGAAAAGATAACAGCAAGGGACAGAGGACAAAGGAATCACTGCTGTTAATCTGTTAAGCTTTCCTTTTCAAACAATGTATGAAAGCTAATTTTATGGCTTTATTTGGAGTTTTATTTCAGACTCTGTTCATTTCCTCATTTGTTGAGAAGGATAGTTCATAATGAGACAATCATGGGAGGCAGGGGCAGAAGGGGAGTGTCCATCTATTGGGATACCTGACCCTTCTTGCTTCAATATCAGAGCTGGTACTTTGAAAAGGAATGGAATGATAGCTTTGTTTCCCAAGCCAGGTGATTTGCAGCCAATCTCACCCATTGGAGACATGGGCTGCAGCATAGGGAGGACGTGTTTGGAAGGAGGGAGAATTGCAACTGCTGGCATGTTTGCCTGTTATATAGAAGCTGATGGGATTAGTAACCTTGAGGTGGGAGAGCATTCATTGATGATTTAGAGCACTACCCATTTTCCTCAGCTAAATTCATTCAATCAATCTGTAACAAAAATGGCAATAATGACTATAACCCTTTACATTTTTCAGACATGCTTTTACCAAACATACCAAAAGCTGTCTTTATTGAGCATTTGTAATGAATCCAATTCTTTGGCATTGGGTGGATGATGAGGCAGCTACATTGCATAGTGAATGGAGTGCCGGACTTGGGCAAGTCTCTGCCCAGGTTTGCTCATTTATAAAATCTTGATTCTAATGGTACCTACCCTTGTAAAATGAAATAACATCTACAGTGCTCTAAAAATGCTAGCTGTTTACTAACTGAAAAGATCTGACCCAATCTGACCCTGCCCTTGAAGACCCAGAAGTCTAGTGGGAAAAAAAAAGACTCATAAGGTTTCACAAGAAACAATTAGAAAACAGTACAATATGTGATAAGGGAGAAAAGTAGATGTGTACTTAGAAAATGCTGAGGTTGGTGGATGGTGGTGGTGGTGTTGATGGTTGTCCTATGAGTTGGACGAAGAGCAAAATGGCATCACTATGATAAAGGTTTAAAAAATGAAAAACACCTTGTGATCTAGAATCCCAGTGCCCCCATTTAAGCCGCCCCTTGAAGACTGGTAGCACTAAGGTGTACTTGGACCTTTTTTGCTTAGTGACACTTTTTTCATGTGACAGTCACTCTTCTGTGGGCCAGCCAGAATTTTTCAGCCATGGGAGTGGTTTCCCAAAATGAAAAAGTCTTTCAATTGGGTTCTAGATTTATCTCTACCATCAATTCAAAATATCATCTTCTGCAAGAGGCCTCTATACTATGGATTCCCAATCTTTAGAAAAAGAGAAGAGAGATGAGGTAATCCCTGCATCAGGGTGTTGAGAGGGATGAAAGCACTTTGTGTCTTGGAAAAATGACCATAGGAAAGATAACCTATGATGGTTTTCTTAGATGCATTAGGTTCTGCATACCAGACTAACCTAAAAAAATTTGTAATTTCTTTTCTCTCCTAGTGCAAGAGAAACCAGAGCAGATTCCTCTGGAGAGCCGCTCTTGTGTCCTGATCCGAAGAGACCTGGTAGCCCTTCCTGCAAGCCTCATTAGCCAAATCGGCTACCGCTGCCACTCTAAACTCTACTCGGAGGGTGACCCTGGTGAGAAGCTGGAGCTTGTTGCAGGTAATGCCACAGCAGGTTTCTGCCTCTTCTACCCCACTCATGGTGCCCATAGACCCCTTCCTCTTACAGATTCATGCACACACCCACCCCCATTCAAACCCCCACCCCCCATACCTTCAAAATGCTAAGCAGAGGAGGAAAACTGAATCCTCCCTATAATTTTAGAGATTGCGTGCAAATGTCCTTTTATTTTCTTTTCTCTTCAGAGCAGTGAACAATGTACTCATCACCAATCAGTCAAAAAAAAAATAAAAAAGAAAGGATAGAACATCTTAAATTTCCCTTAATTTCCTTTTAGAAGAATGTGTCATTAAGAGAAGTTATTCAATTGAATTAATTTAGCATTTTAATTGAATTCCCCTGGCTTGTATTCTTCCTGATTGGTACGGGCTGCATCACAATTGTATTTTAATTTAGGTTGCAGACAAAAACATGTTGTGTATTTTTATGATTCTTTCCCCCCTATCCCCCACCCCAACTTCTAAGTGTCAAATTACTGCATTCTCTGGGTAATGGTTTTAGGTTTTGTAATAGCAAAGGCAGATTGAGAAATTTGATTTCTTTTAAGAAAACTAGCAATAATTTGATCTAAAAGTATATTAGCACTTTGCCCAGGATGATGTTTTCTGTGTTTGAAACTGTTTTTTCTTTTTAAGTCTGATGGAGATGGAGTATCTTTAATTTTTTTCAATGAAAAGATCATCCATCTAACGCTTTCACATCTGAAAACTTGTCTGTGCCAAACTATTTTTAAAAGATCTGTTCCCTGCAGCCATCAAATGTGTCAACCAATGATCACCCCTCCCCCCCCAATCCCTCATCCCCAAAGTGGCAGAGGAAGGTTGGTCATTTCATCTCATTTGGAAACACCCTCCTCTGATCCACAGTAGTAATTCCTTGGTAGCTTAAGACTGTTAGAAAACTATCTGGAAGGCTCAAGAAGCAGGTGACTTGTCCAAGTACACACATCTAGCAGGGTCGTCAGGATACTGGGAGGTTTATTATTTCTGGAAAATTCTCCATTTTTGCTCTGGGCCAGTTCCTATCATATCTCAGCTCAGCCACTGTCTGAAATGTTGCCTAGAGATTAGAAACACTGATTTCTCTGTTGGAATATTCATACTGGACTAGTTTACAATTTATAAAGTTTCTTTTCCTGTAAACGGAAAATGTGGAGTAAGTGATTTTTCACAGCAGGAACCTTTAATCGGCCAGTAGCATTTTACTTGATTTTTAAAATTTTATTTATTTATTTATTTTTGCTTCTCATTCTTTAGTGAGGAGATTAATATCTATTCAATTAAAGCTTCTTGGACTGTATGTATATTTGTTGTATTTGTGTGTTTAAGCAAATATTACTCTCTGCTATACCTAATTGGGTCAGCTGGTGTGAGCTGGGAAGATCTTGGTTACCAAAGAAACCATAGCAAGCTAATTACTTTCTCAAATTTAATGAAAGTGACAAGGATGTCTGCCTGGTTGGGGTGGGGGGAGGGGTGAAGTGCACATAAGGAGTTTTTTTTTAGTAGCACTATCCCAGAGATGTTCTCACCACCTAGGATTTTTCACACCATAATCAATTATGAAAACTTAGTCATTTTCTTCAGGGGGCCCTACAGTTAAAGCAGATAATAGGACGGATTGTCCAGGTACCAGTATGGATTAGCAGGGGCTGCTCTGGAGAAGAGAGATGGCCTGGCTGGTGACTAGGAAGACAGGCCTCTGCTGTCTACCATTTTGAACCCATTTCACCCTGAAGGTTCCCACCTCCCTTCCAACCACCAGAATTCTTTCATAAGGAGAAAAAAATCAAGTGCTCATGTTCCATGGGGTTTTCTATTTTTGAGGCTCTAATTCACTGTGATTCCAGAGATGATCAGATTATTTGAGTGAAATTAAAAGACAGATTGAAGGAGATTTTTAGATATCTTGATGATGGAGTTACAGATTGCTGAAAAGTTGGCAAGTAGAATGTCAAGCCTGATAAACCTGCCCTTAATTGTGTCACAGCTAACATCTTTGAAGTAGAAATGTCCTTTAATAATTAACTTAGCCATAATATGTCTCTATAAGTGATGGTTGTGACCCCTAACTTTTGAGGGAGCATACGGAAAGGAACATATCACAGTGGTGTCCCACTAGCTTTAGAAAGCAGAGATTATAAGCAAGCATAATTTACTTTCTTGTTGGAGATGTCCTATATTGATGTGACCACTTAGTTAAGAGTGCCTGGTTAGAGTGCTGCATTGATGTTAAGACGGAACATTTGGCAGAATTGTAGTTCAGGAGAGAGATCAAGGTTGGAGATGTCAATTTGACCATGTGCAGAGAGAGATGCACACATGGAAATGGTTGATGATATAAAGAGAGGAACAGACCACCAGATCAAGACTTTGGTGCGCATGGCCATCAGGATCAGGTTGGAGAAGAAAGAAAAGCTGACAGAGGAGACCAAGAAACAAAGGAGGATTGATCAGAGAAGGAGAATGAAATAAGTATATAATCACAGATGAGAGTTTCAAGAAGGAAGATTTGTTCATGGTCATACAATGGCAGAGTCCTGAATAAATTTGTAGTACTTATTTTTGCCCTGGGGAGTTGGGGTAAGAGGAGCTAAGAGGGTTGGGTTAGTGTCATGGAGAATGATCAGTAGTGCCATCCCCATCAGATCTGGTGCCAGAGGAACCATGGGAAATGGGACATCCTCAAGAGACAACTGATTGGTTTTTCTGATGTCTGTCCATGATGTCTATCCAATAATCGGGTGTTTGTGGTGAAGATCCATGTGTTGAATTCCAGATTTTCTTTTTCTTGCTTCCAAGTTGACATGGTCTCATCTTTGTGTAAGACCAAAAGAGGGAGAATCCTCTTCTGTTAGTATCACTACCAAAGTTTGCATCATTTGATGGGGGAAGGTTAAGAACTGAGAGAACACCAAGTAGGTATTGCTTAAAAAGGTAAAATTGTTTTTAAATTAATTTTTTTAAATGAACAAGTCTTGTTTTATTTTCCCTCCTACCTACCTCCTTCCTTTTGTAACAAATATGAGTTGTCAAGCAAAACATATTCCCACATTGACTATGTCCAAAATCTGTCCCTATCTTAACCTAGTGCCCATGAGCTCTCCCATCAGGACTGGGTAGGTAGCGTATTTCATTATGAGTCTTGGGATTATGATTAGTCATTCTGTTGATCAGAGTTCCTAATTCTTTCAAAGATGTTTTTCTTTACATTATTGCTGTTATTGTACATCTTGTTCTTCTGCTACTGCTTACTATGCTCTACATCAGTTCATAAAATTCTTTCCTGGTTTCTTTGAAATTCTCTGTCTCTCTCTCTCTCTCTCTCTCTCTCTGTTTTTGCAGTTGTCTCCACTAGTCATTCATATTCCACATTCACATGTCACAATTTGTCCAATTACTCTCCCAGTTCTTTGCCACTACAAAAAAAAAAATGCTACAAATCAATACTCTTAATGGGATCAAAAAGATCTTGCTACATCTCACTTCAAAATTCTTACTTCAGTTGACTCTGTGTTAGAGCATCGTGGTGTTTCATTGAGTGGAGATCAGTAGGTCCTGACCTTGAAGGACTAAGTCTGAGGGTTTTACCTTATGTTCTAATTGGCTACAGGCTCTGGAGTCTACATCACACGGGGTCAGCTGATGAACTGTCACCTCTGTGCCGGTGTGAAACACAAAGTCTTACTGAGACGGCTTCTTGCTACTTTCTTTGATCGGTATGAGAAGATGGGTAAGGCCCAGGTTGGGCCTTTTAAAGTTTTGTTTTTTTCTTCCCACCTGTTTTCTGTAACACTTTTCAGTGTTTTGGAACAGTTCCTTCTGCATTTTCATTTAGTGAAGATTTTATTTTCATTTTCTTTTTTCCTTTCTTTCCTTTTTAAAGATGTCAGCTATTGCTTTCTATAAGTTTTTATAATCTCAGAATGTTGGAGTTGGGCACTAGGTAGGCATTTTATAGGTGGTGAAATTGAGATCCACAGAGAGATGATGATTTGCCTATAGCAGTGGTGTCAAACTCAAATACAATCTGATCCTTGCTGGAGACATTGACTTAAAAACCACAAATTAACATTTTGTTTTAAAATTGTATTTTGGTAAGCATTTTCCACTTACATTTTAATCTGGTTGTGAATGGCTGAGATGATGCCCTAGGACACACAGATCACTGAGTAGCAAAGCTGCAGCTAGAATCCGGCTGTCCTGATTCCCTGCCCAAGATTATGTGCCACTAAAGCTTAATTCCAGGCCAGCTTCTTGGGTCACTTAGTGAGTGAGCTGTATCCATCTTGCCAGCATTATTCAGGGTGAACTCAAGAGAACTGCCAACTAACTTTCATATTAGCCAATGTAAGATTCTGATTAGGAAGGTAAATGTGCAGAGAAGCAATCCCTATAGGAAGCATTCCAGCAGTAAATATTTGCTTGACTTTGGCAGTGATCCTTTCCACCCTTCTGTGTACTCCCCTTTGTGTTATCGAGGATAACAAATAAGGAGTTGATAATAATGCAGTTAGTTGACTTGGATTTTTATCCGAAGTCTTAAGAGTATTTGCTACCTTCATCTTTTCTTTTTCCTCCTTTGTCCTGCAGGAATACACTAGCCAACAGCTGTGGGACTGGAATCCGCTCCTCTACTAGTGATCCCAGCCGGAAACCTTTGGACAGCAGAGTCCTTAATGCCGTGAAATGTAAGGTCTTAAGACTCAACGGAGCAAGGGTGGTAGTTAAGAGTCCTCAAACAAGGTGGGAGGAGGGGAGGATCAAAACAATATTCAATACCTCCAGGTAATGGATTGTGCCATCGATGTATAACTGCTGTTTGATCTGGGTTCCTGAAGACTTCAGTTTTCTGACTCCTTTCCCTCAGAGCCTCCATAAGAAGCTGCCACTTAGATAATGCTCCTATAACAAACAACTTTTAGGACTCTCTTCCAACATTTGTCTTCCCTTCTGGTGTGGGGATGGGATTGGTAGCTGGTTATAGTGACCCCTGAAAGGTTTGCGAGGAAGACTCTTGGGCTCAAAGAAGTAGTGTACGCATTTCTCAGCCTGGCCTCCTAGTGACTGATAATTGGAGCTGTTGATCCACTTCCCTGGAATGAGGCTTTTCCGGGGAATGTGTGAAGCATTCATTTTCAGCAAGTGGGTAGAACAGGATAAAGGAGCAGTCTCCAGAATGAGGTCTCAAGGTGTTAACTTTTTTGGTGGGTTTCCAAGCTTGATGATTTCAGCTGCAAAACTATTTTAATATGTGAAATAGATTTAATTTCCTTTTTGAACAAACCCCCCTATTTACATTTTGTGGTTATTTTAAGTCCTTGCCATCTGCTTGGCCATCTTCTCTCTCATTCCTGGACTGGGATAATCTAAAGGCAGTGAGCTCGGCCTTGCTGGGTGGTAGACTGCCTTCTTTACCCACCCTCCTCCCCTGCCTACTTGAAGAGGAGAAAGCTGCTGTGGATCAGCCAGTTAACTCCCTTCCCCCCCCCCCCCCCCCTTTTTTTCCACGTACTCTGCATTTTTGTTTTTCAGTCAGAACAGCTAATATACACTCCTTAGTTTTTTAAAATGCCCTAAAATTTAAATTCCTTTCTTTTTGTTTTGATTGACACTTGATAGTAATTAATCTAAAACTCTTGTCACTCCAGAAATTTTGGTAATAATTTGGGGACTGTGTACAGAGACATGGATCTTAACAATAGAAATTTATATTAGGCTAAGGATGATTTTAGTTAGAATTAGTGACTTATTGACAGATAATTAACTTGTTAAGGGTAGAGACAGAATGCTTCCTCTTTGTAACTTGTAGTTTATTTTTCAGTCATAGGCATGGGGAGGGTCTTACTGTTGATCTAGTCTAACCCATATTGTATTTCCTTTTCATTAGCATTTTGTAATTTTTAAATCACTTTCGTATCTATCATCTCATTTGGCCCTCATCACAAACCTATGAGAGGGCTGATATTATCCCCCTCGGACAGATGAGGAAACTGAGACCAAGCTCTTGCTAATGCTTGTGCCCTGAGGGAAATGTGCAGATAAATAAGACAGCATTCTCTGCTCTCCAAGGGATTAGCAGGGATTTTACTCAAGGCTGTACTGTAAGTCTGTGGTCAAGTCTGGGAATGTAGAGTCTTGATTGGAATTCCATTGGCCTCTTCACGTTGAGACCACATGCTGGTGTCCAAACAAAATTTCAGAGAACTTTTCTCTTTTTCTTTCTTTCTCTGCCCTTGTTTTGACCATCTCCTTCCCTTGTCAATTAATTATAGCCAGAAATTTTCCCCAAAATGTAAGAATTAACATTTTTTTAGTAAAGTGAAATTTTCACTTGGGAAGGCTTTCAATGTGGATCCGGAATGCACTGTTGGGGAGGGGTGGTCATGCTAATTTTCAGTAGTGTTTACTACACTGAAATTGACAGAGCTAATTAATTATAGTCAGGCCTTTTAAAAAAAAACATCAATTAGATAAATGGATATCATTGGCTAGTAAGTTTTTTAGACTTGGTAGAAACTTATAGGCCATTTAGTCTAACCCTCTCATTTGACATATAAGAAAAGATTATGTGTTTTGGACAGTCACATAACTAGTTAGGTCTGAGGGAGGATTTAAACTTCCTAGCTCCCCATCTAGTGCCCTATGTCAGACATGAACAGCAAGGAGATGCAGTGGATAGAGTGCCCGGCCTCGACTCAGCAAAGACCCATCTTTGTGAGTTCAAATCCAGCCTCAGACAGTTACTATCTTTGTGACCCTGGGCAAGTCACTTCACCCTCTTTGCTTGTTTCCTTCTCTGTAAAATGAGCTGGAGAAGCAAATAGCAAACTGCCCTGTTATCTTTGCCAAGAAAACCCCAAAAGGAGTCACATAGAGTCAGACATGACTGAATGGCCCAAACAGCAATGTCAGAAAGGAAGGATGCTTGAAGAAGATTATCATGCCTCTTTGGAACAGTGAGGTTTCTAACCTCCTTAAGAGCTGGGAGGGATGAGGTGGCCCACAAACCAAACTGATGACCCTTAATAATGGAGAAATGAATTTTCACCTGTGTAGTCTACTTCTTAAAGGGAGTGATTCAACCCTACTGGGGATATACATTGTTTGCGATTCCCTTGGCATCCTTTTCTATATCCCCATCCATAACGAAGAACAGAATGGATTTCATGGTGTGAATGCCCTCTAAGTGGGAATGATGGAACTTTTTGTTGCCCTAAAGCAGATATACCTCATGAAGGCATATGAGGGGGTTGGGTACAGGTGGCCTCCTCCCCTTGAGTCTCCACCTAACTCTTTTGACCTCTCCTGGCTATCTTTCTCCCTGTCTTTGCAGTATATTGTCAGAATTTTGCCCCAAGCTTTAAAGAGAGTGAGATGAACGTCATAGCTGCAGACATGTGCACCAATGCTCGTCGAGTTCGCAAACGGTGGCTGCCCAAGATCAAGTCCATGCTGCCCGAGGGGATGGAGATGTACCGAACGGTCATGGGCTCCACCACTGCCGGTGTCCCCCTGGAGCCTGAGTTCCAGGCCACCACAGCCCAAGTATTTGAGCAGAGAATCTACGCAGAGCGGCGGAATGATGCCGCCACCATTGTGGCTCTGAGAACTAACACGGTCAATGTAGACCTAAGCAGTGCTTCCAACCCGCCGTTTGAGCCAAGTGAAGAGGCAGATGGGGCTGGTTCAGTCATTCAGGAGGTGGCTGGGCCAGAGCCCCTATCCTCGGATAGCCAAAGCACTCCCCAATCTTTTGAACAAGGTCCTGCCAGCACCAGCAGGCCGGAGACACCGGTGAGAAGACAAGATGGTACTTATGGAGGGACTTTGTAAAGATACCTAAAGAGAAGAAAAAAAAAATTGACTTATAAGGGATCTAAATACTAAAGCTGCTTGCATGCATACTAATACAAAAAAAATGTGATCAAGCCACTTACCTACTGAACTGCTACTGTTGCCTGAAAAAAATGTGATTTTTATTCTGCTTGTATTTAAAATTTATGAAGGAAATAATCGCATTCGTTATACTGTAAATGATTAGGTCAGTGATGGCCTATTTAAAAGAGAGTTCCTGGGCTCTATTTTTTTTTTTTAATACTCCTGAGGTTAGACTCTACACTTGTAGCTTTTTTCTCCCCTTCCTTACAAGGGGATGGGGTGAAGGAGGACTGAGACATCACCTCCCATTGTTTCTGCACCCAGGTCCTTTCCATCCCTTTCTTCCCAGCGCAGAACTAAAGCCATTGTTAATTCCTCCTTGCTCTATAGAAGGTTGTGCCATCACTCAGGAGGAGAAAGTTTTTGGATGGTCAGAGAATGCCTGGCAGTTCATGGACCCACAGGACTTGGCAAGGTGATTGACTGGAGGTGCTTCACTTAACACTCCATTCCTAACTTGTAGTGGTCCTCATCTTGAGGGTCTTTATGTGCATCAGGCCTATGGAGGCTGGGGATGGGCAGGCTGAGGTGAGGCAGAGAGCTTTCCCCAGGAAGTCCCCTCAAACTCCTTTTCCCCTGTGTTCCCCCCCACCCCCACCCCAACTGAGACTCTTTTTCAGTGTCAGGATTAGCCATGGTTCCATATTTGTGTTTCTCATGCGTGTGCTTTGGGGGTCACAGCAGCAGGGTATGGGGGAGGTGAGAGTATTATTGGTATGGGAGTGTTAGGACATGTTGGTTGGCACTGATTGGTGTATGTGAATATGTGAAGACATCCCATTGTCCTTACTCTTCCCCTCTCTTCCCTTCCCAATCAGATCCCTATTTCTCTTCCTACTAAATGAGGCACCACTCAATATAGCCTTCAGTGAGTTAGTCCTCTGAGTTGGCTTTAACTTCTTCCCCCACCCCAAACTGTGCATTCTTTATCTCTTCCACATCCCTCATGTGAAACCCTATTTTCATGAATCTGAGGGACCACTTGCCTGGTGGTGGTCACCCTGGAGGAGTTGGGGGGAGCCATGATGAGTCTGTAGGAGTTAGCTGGGTGGTAGAGGTATGGTTACAGGCTTGGCCCTTCTTAGGGTTCACTTGGAGCTCCCATGATTTCTTCAAGAGTGAGTTTAACGTGAGGGGATGAACTCCAGAGAGCCTCCCCCTCCCTCCTGTTAAGTAAGAGCAGGGGTGAAAGGGATTGTTCATCTCTTGGCTTTCCTTTTTATGTGGAATAGTTTTGTGACTATCCTGGAACCCTTTGAATTTTGTATGGCCTTACGTTCTTTGATTGAAAGGCAAAACTCCATTTCCCAATTTCTTTGTCTTCCTTCCCCTCTACTCCAAATAGACCAAATTTTTGCAAATGAGGCATAGACTCGTTGTCCACTCTTTTTTCGTGAAATATGGCCATTGCCCCATTTAGGAGAAGTGACAACTTGGTTTTGACAGGCAGAGAGCTTTTTCCAAACTATCGATTGGTGAAAGCCAGACCATGTGGCTTTCCGTGACCTCTGCTGCAGGAGGAAGAGGCCAGACCTGGAGGCAGGGGCCAGGGTTGGGGAAAGTCAGGGTCAGGTTTAGGTGAAAGAAAATGTATCTCTGCCATTTTCCTTGTCCAGTGATGAGTCCTTGTCTCCATTTCCATTTGGAGAGGGTTTTCCATTGCTGACACTCTCAGTAGAGGGCAGATGGCTTGCCCCTCCTGGGAATGTTTGGCCAGGGAGCAAGGTGATGCTTTGCCTGTGTAGACCCCCTAGGTTAAAGGGGGATCTGGAATGTGTGTAGGTGCTTGTGCAAGTAGTGACAGTGAATTGGGGCTTGTGCTCAGTGGAGAGATTCATGAGTCCTAGTGCATAGGGGAAAACAGAGTCCCTCACCCCGTGACTTCTTCTTGGTGCCATTTCTTTTTTCTTCCCCCACTCCCGCTACCACCATGGACAGTGGATCCTAAGAAGAATGTTTTTTGACTGAATCCAATGCTCAATATGTGCCAATAGTTCCTCTCCATCATAATCTCTGCTTTCATTCTACATGGCTGTCTAGATGTAGGTTTATATCCAACTGTGTGGAATTCAGAAATGGGGAAAGGGTCATGAGCAGAAGCTGGATTAGTGAATGAATGGTCATACTGTCTACTTGTGTTGTGGACAATGTGGAGTCCATGGTGTTTGTAAAGAAGAAATATAGGCAGTTTCACTGGTATGAAACTAGTGCTTAGTACTGTAGCATTGGGGGGATGCTTTTAGAGTTTAAGATGAGGGTGGGAGGGTGGTCAGAATGTTGTGAAAGGGCAATGGAAGAGGTGGTTGTTTTTGTTTTTGTTCTAAATTTTCTGAGATTGAAATATGCTCACTTTGCAATTTAATTTTTTTAAAGCCAAGGAAAAAAAAACAACTAGTGCAACATCCACATAAATGGTCACTGGTCAGTGACTTCTTCCTTTGTGGATCACATGCTTTGGGGTTTTTTGGGGGGGGGCATTCCTCTACTTCCTACCCCAGTGAAAGGGGGCTCCAGAAGGCAGCTCTCCCATCTTGGGTCATTGTTTATTTAGCCAGATACTTGAAACTGTTTGTATATTTCATAGAAATGCTTGCTTGCTTCCTTTCTGCCTGCCCTAAAACTCCCTTCCCTATTTGATACCCCTCTGTATTTAAACAAAAACAACCTACACGCTTGGGTTTGTAGTTCAGCTCCCATTCTGGGCAGTTATGCATTTCCATTTGCAGAATGTCTGCAGTGGATTCTGTCAGGGGTTTTGTGGGGGAAGAGCGAGTTTTGACAAATGACACCTTGGCCATCCAGGAGTCTTTGTTAACACCACCACCCCCTCCCCCAACCAGGTCTAAGGTGTCAGTTTCTCTGATATTCCCATTGAATCTGAAGTCTCCTTTGCAGATTCTACCACCCCACCAAAAATGAACTAAGATTAGTACCCCTAGAAGAGAGGGCCTTTTCAGCACAAGAAGTCACTTTATCCTAGCATTGCCATAAAAACATATGATGACTTTTAAACAGGATTCACATTTTCCTTTGAAGCCCTTGAACATTATTTCCACACCCCACTTTGCATGGCAGAGGTCATGAAACCAGCTAAAATCACCCTCAACAGAGCTAGCATCCTCCCTTTCGCCCACCCTCTGTCTGAAATCTCCTATGCCCGGCCCTCCCTTGAATGTCCACAGGTCTAGATCTTTATTCTTGCCCATCATCAATGGAGCTATAGGGCATAGGAAGTCATACAAGGGTCCGTAAGGAGTGACAAGACATCACCCTTCAGTTCCAATGCCTCTACTCACAATAGGCTTCAGCTCATGGTCTTCACATCATTAGCCCTGACTGCCATATTAAGAACTCAGGCTATAATTCTTCTTCCATGCCCCAGCCTTTGAGTGAGTATATGAATTTTTGGAAAGAGTCCTAGAGGACTCTCCCAGACATGGGCAAAGTATGGCTCAGCCATGATTTAGGCTTTCATAGGCTGGGAAGGCAGAATCCCTATTGTTGTACACATGTGGGGAATACATGGTTATTGTGGCCAGATTTTTTGAGGCTATTGAAGGGAATCTGAGACTTGAGAATGGAGAGAGTCAAGGTCTTAGGAGATGTGAAGTATGTAATATTGTATTGATGTCTCAGAGAAAGAAAGGTAAAATTGAAATTCAGTCCTTTCTTCTGGGTTGGGCTGGCGTGTATTTTGAGAACAGAGGAAATTAATTACTCTAGCTTTCTTCTCTGCCTCTAGGGTGGGAGTCCAAGGAGCATCTCCTATCTGCAGTGTCCCTTGTATATTAAAACCACCCAGTGTTCCTTTCATTTTTTAAGTAAGTTGAGGATTTTTCACTTCATTCCCTGCCACAATGGCACTTTTAATTTGAGTTTTGCTTGAGAAACATTCAGAACCGAGAGATGTGATATCATTGGTGAATGAAAAAGGCTTTATCCGTCAAGAAACTGCCACAAGAAAAATCCAATATGGTGGTCACAGTCAAGAGACACAAGTATGGATAAGCTGTGTAGTTATGAATAGTGGCTGAATTGAGCAGAATAGGTGAAAGACATAGTGGTTTTATCAGACAAGATTGTAGGTTGCACAGATAAAATTTATCTATTTTTTTATACCTAGCACAACTTCCTAGTTTTTATTTTCTTTTTTCATTTTTCATTTTTCTTTTCTTTCTTTTTTTTGGTGTTTCTTTTTTCCCTTTTTTTGGTTCTGGGTTAAGAAGACAGAATTTGTTAAAACTTTAAAAATGTGAATGGGTTTTGAGCTCTCCCTTTTTCTCTGGGTGAGGGTGAGTGTTTTGCACTAATGTTTCCTGTATGTAGAGGATTAATGAATGATATGTTTGCAAATGTATATGGGATGATGATTGTATCCTTTGAGGAAAACCAATCCCTGAAGATACTGAATGTAAAGTGAAACAGAAGCAGTCCTTGGCTTTCATGGGGCTTTCCAGAGTGCCTTAGAATTTTTTGGATCATTTTTCCCAAGGAAAACATTTTCAAAATCAGACCATGTTTCCCTCTATTTTGTTTACAACACTATCAATTCCAGAATTGGGGGCTGCTTTGTCATGTGAATATGAAACTGCATTTATCTAGATCTGCTAGAACAAAAGAGGAAAAAAACCCCTCAGTATTTATGATATGTCTGCACCTTTATTCTTACATTTGACTATTAGCAATATATGTATAATATATCTCTATATTCTATTATATATCTAAATTATATCAAGCACCTTTTTGAGGAATAAATTTTTTTAAAAAAGAAGAAAGACTGAACACAGTTTGAGCTAACGTTACATGCAGTTGCCAATAGTAGGCCAGACATCTGCTCTTGTCCTAGTAGATGTGAGTAAGGATTCAAAACTGAGTCCCAAAGTCATTAGGGCCTTGATACCAGGGTGTCAGGACATTGCTCACTTAGGCCCACCATGTGCTGGACCCCTGTACAGTTCTTGGTTTAACACAAGGTTGTAAAAGAGCACAGAGGGAACAGATGGTCCAGTGGTGAGCAAACACTAAATCACAATTGTCCATTAAATATAGCAGATACTGCTGGCTTTGTGTTGAGGTCCTCTCGGAACTTGAATTCTCTGTATTGTTTTCTGCCCTGTCTCTGGTCTTGCCTGAGAGGTCTGTTTGTGTTTGTTCTTGGGTTGTTGTTTTTTTTTTTCCCCCTTCTCCTTCTTCTTAACTATGGTGTAGGATCTGTGGAAAAAAAAGGGGGGGGGGGGTTGCAAGTGAAAGTGGAAATGCTAATCTTTGGAGCCCTGAGAGAGTGAGAGAGAGAGAGAGAGAGAGAGAGAGAGAGAGAGAGAGAGAGAGAGAGAGAGAGAGAGAGAGGCAGGACAGTGCTCTGGGCCTCCCCAATCTGTTCTCTTTAACTGTATTTGAAGGAAATATTTTCCATCAGCCTATCGCCTCTTTTGTGATTCCCTCTGTTATATTGTCAAAGGCCTGGGTTGGGATTAAAAAAATATCCTGGCTTTTGAGTTATAACTTACTGAGTGTGTTTATTTTATTTTTCTTTCCTGGATTCTCTTTCTTCAATATTCCTATTTTAGTGCTGTGATGAAGGTGCTGGGTAAAAATTCTGAGATCTGGGAGGCTGGGGATCAAGGAGAGCAAGAGAAGGACAGTCACACAACTCTGCTCTCCTAGTCCCTCCAAGGGTTTAGAGAACTTTACATGGGCACCTTTGATGTTGATTCCATCGACCCACCGAGACCAAGTATTTCTAACCCTCTGGGATGTTTTAAGCAAGGCAGATGCTCTTAGTCCTGGGTTTGTCAATCGATCCACCGGAATGTTGAAGGTGAGCTGTGATGGGACTCAGGCTTTTTGACAGCCCATCATGTTTGGAATTACTTCCCTATTTAACCCATGTTTAAAGGACCATAGCCTTCTAGATAGGTTACTCGGTTACTCGATGAGGCCCTGCTGCCTCTCCCCAGTCATTTTATCGTTCCGGGTTCTGTTCAGATGGATTAGTTTTATGGAAATCGCTTGCTGCAAGTGGGGAAGGGCCTATGGCCCATTAACCAACTGAAAACGCAGAGACAACCTCTGTTTGCTTCCACTGGCAGTAAATCGTAAACACAGAATTGAGAGTTCATAGCTGTCTTGGGCTTTAACTACTGTTTCAAAATGTCCCTGCTGTATAAATTTGTCATTATGTCAGTGAGCAAGCCCCAAATGTGTGTATTACCATACCAGAGATATTCAGGGCTGGGTACAAGATGTTTCTAAAATTGAAAAGTGGTTTTTTCTTTTTCTTTTTTTTTAATAAAAAAGGAAAAAAATATGCAGAAATCTAAAGCACTCAAATTGGAAAACCTTCTCATGTTCTGATCAGTTGCTTCCATTGTCAGCGTTTTGCACATAATTGTGATTTTTATGTCAAAAAAAGGCCAAAACTTGCAATACTATTTTTAGCAGACAAAAAAAAAAACAACTTAAGTATAAATGTATAAATATTTTTGACTTGAAGATTTGGATGGCACTTGACTCAAATAGAACATTAATCCTTTGGACAGAATGTTTGGAAAAAAGAGACTTTAAAAAGTAGATGGTTGTTTTAAAAATTTTTTTAAATGGAGTCTGTTTAGAGTAGTAAAGTAGTACTGTAATTCATGACTGTTAAATAAAAAATAAACAATTGAGTGAAATAAATCGTTCCTACTCTGGACAGGCAGTTTCACAGTGCCACGGAGTTACATTTCAGCCACAAAAGATGCTAGTTTGTTCTTTTTTTTTTTTTTTTTAAGAACAGATAAAGTTTTGTTACTTCACCAGTATTTATGTGTTGTTACTCTGTATAGTTAAGAGTCTTACTTTTTAGCCATGGCTGACACATTATATCAGTAACTAAAATGACATTGAACAGCCGACCAAGGAAACCCCGAGAGTTTGAAGTGTGCTCATAGCTGTCTCCATCAGATGCAAAATCCATGAAGGAGGATATGATCATTAATTGTAAAACGCTTTGTAAAATTCACATTTACAAAATAATAAAGTCGATTCCAATTCAAGCTTCCTTCTGGGGCTATAAGCCCCTGTGGTTGGTTTTATTTTGTTCCTGGGGACTTGGTGGAGAGAAATTGGGGATCTTGAAGAGTATACTTTGTTGGAGAATGGGCTTTCAGTCCCCAGAACTTCTTGCCCCAAGTTTGTTATTGGGCTTTGGAGGGAATTGGGGTGGGGGGGGGCAGTACAGTGTTGAGGAAGCAAAATGGAAAATACTACTTCTGAATATTATTGCAACTTCAGGTTCAGGACAGGAAGGAAGATGCTGCCAGCAGCAGAGCCAGATGAAGAAATGCACAGACAGCAAAGGGAATGACTGGTATTGGACAAATGGGATGCTGCTGTCACGTAGTTAACCAAACTTTGTGGTATGAGTTGGAAGAGTCAGGACACATACACTTGTTAACTGATGTTTCACTTCAGAATTTGGTAACAGCAATTTTCTTACCTCATTCTGTTCTCTCCATTTTAACCATTCATAGTCATCCTTGGAGCATATATCATTTGGAGGAAGTGAAAAGGTTTGGGGAAAGAATAATATAACCTTGGTATCATCAGCCTAGAAAATTGAGTTTTGTCTGGAAGCTGAAATTCATCCTACAACTGGTTTCCTTAACTTTTTTTTTAAATCCTAGATCCCTTTGGCAATCCGGTGATGCCTCTATTCCCCTTGTCAAAATAAGATTTTTTTTGGTTCCATAATTGAAATGCTAAATTTCAGTTTTAGAGGATAGTGAAAATAAAGATTAATTTTTCCCCTCCAAATTTATAGACCCCTGAAATCTGTCAATGGACCCCAGCTTAAAAATTCCTCATTCCCACTGGTGACTTTTAGCTAAATTGTAGAATGGATATCAATGATCTCCTATATGGTCTTAGGGAAATCATTCTTATCTCTGGGCCTTTTTATGCCCTACCCTTCTAATGAAAGTAATCCTGCTCCACCTGTTTGTCCAAAATGTTGGGAAGATCAGATAAGACCTTTTCTTGAACAGGAGAGTGCTTTGGCTTGTTGAATGTGTTGATCTTGTGAAACCAAAGATGCCCAGACTAGCCAAGTTCTTAAATGCTGTCACTACTCCCTACAGCAAAGCAGCCTTCATGACAACCACTGCAAATATCAACAGCCAAAGAGGACACTGAACAGCCCTCCTCGTTACTCTGTAGCTCTGGGTTTGGAATTAGGGCCATTGTATCCTGTTCTTCTACTTTTTCAACACATTTAATTATGCATGTCAGTGACCACTGTGAACAAACACATCAAATAGAATTGAAAATAATATTCATGAAATGGTAAACTTTTTAATGTGCATAAAATCTTTAACATGCGAATCTAATCAGCAAATGGTAAAAGATATAATAGGATTTTAAAAACACATGTTATATTTGCTTCTATACCCTACTCAACTTTTCTCCTGTGCATTTGCCCTCCAGGGGCACTCCTTCCCCCTCCCCCCCATTCTGTATATCATCCTTTTCTATATATTTGTTGCTTATGGCAAAATGATACTCAATTTGCTTAGCAATTCCCCAATGATTAGGCACATGGGATATTTTCAAATTTTGTCTTTTTTTTTTTTAAACAATACTGCTATGAATATCTTGCTTGATCTTCACATTAACCCTGTATGTTAAGGAACAATAGGCACTATTAACCCATTGACAATGAACTAACTTGAGGCCCCAAAAATCACACAGTGAGTTAATAATAAACTAGTACTAAAAATCTATTCCCCTTTAAGGGAGCAGAGTCTGCTTGTGGGTGTTTGTGTGTATGTCTATGTGCTGTGTCTGTGCTGTTCAGGTTCAGGGTCTTGCTTGAAGTTGTTTGGAATAAACTAGATAGGCCACTTCTGTTTTTTGTTTCCTTGGAGGGGGAAAAATTATCTTTCCAGTTAGATTAATACCAGACTTTCCACTGTCCCTTTTTGCCTTTTTTAAAAATTTTTATTTTTTTAGGCAATTGGAGTTGTGACTTGCCCAGGGTCACACAGCTAGTAAGTGTCAAGTGTTTGGTCTGAGGCTGAATTTGAACTCAGGTACTCCTGACTTCAGGGCTGGTGTTCTATCCACTGCACCACTTAGCTGCCACTTCCCCTTTTTGCTTAAAGATAATCTCACTCCCTCCTCTTGTTAGCTCTTGAATATCTTTGATGGGCAACATGAGGTTTCAGAACCACTGAAATTAAATTTAATTAATTAAACCACAGAAGCCTTCTGGTCCCTTTTATCCTCAGAGTTCAGAGCAGATACTAAGCCCTAACTAACCTGGCTTTCCCTGAGTACTTGATGTCTATTCACAAAAAGAAATGCCCTCTTCCCTCACCTCCTTGTGGTCCTTGTGCAAATTAGCCTTGGGCTGAAGGTTGGGCCTTCAGAGCCTCTTGAGCAAATGCCTAGGGTATCCATAGTCACTCCCTCTCAGTTATCCAGTTTCTAGCCCCTCAGAGTGAAGGGAGGGCTAAGCTCTGCACTCTGCCCTATTCCACATACATACAAAAGTGAGCCCTGTGCCCTAGGAAAGATGTGGCAGGGAGGGGAGGGTTTCTTTCATTTTGTTGGGTCAGATGCTTCACAACACCAAGAGGTTTAAGTAGGTTGCAGTATGTTGCCAATGAAGATTTGTCCTGCTGAGAAATGATATCCAGAAATGGATGATCAGAAAAGGTGGTGGGCTTGCCAAGTGTAGAGAATGAAGGAGCGATAAGAGCCCCGCTGCTGCATTGGTACTCACAGAATGTTATGTGGTGTGTCGAAGCTCCATGGACTATGACATGGACATAAATTTGGATAGGAGTAGACTGGGGATCTGAATCTCTAGAGGGAGTACCTATATCAAGGAGACATGGCTACAATGAAATCTTAAAATAAGTACCCTTCTAGTAAATAACTCTCCTGCCCTGTGGTAAAAGAAAGAAAAAAGTCACTTGTAAGAATGAAAGGCAGAAGGAAGAGCACAGATAATCACCAATGAGATGATCTGGGAGACAGTCGTAGTACCATAGAAAGTGCATTGGATTTGGAGGGGAAAGACTCCTGTTTAAGCCCCTTTTCTGCCATTTATTCCTGAGTCATTTAGACGGAATGACCATTTCTCATTTCCTCAGCTGTAAGGTAAGAGTCAAACTAGATAATCCAGAAGGCCCTTCTTGCCACCTGTATGTGGAAGCTCTCAGGATTTGGGGATGCATGATGAATTTTTGGTTATTATGTGCCCTGTGCTGATGGGGAATTGTTTTTTAAAGACACAAATATATTCTTATTCTCCCCAAAATTCACAGTAGCTGGAAGAAGCAAGATTGAAATATATTAATTGCAGAAAAATCAGGTGTGGCATTTTGGGAGTTATGGGTCTAGTCCTGTGATTTCTCTAATACAAGCAACTCCCAATGAGGAAACTTTGTCTGCTACCAATGCAAAACAGCTTCTTCTCTACTTGGAGAACTAAAGGGTTGAATAACTTGTCCAGAGGCATACGATCAGTATGTGTCATAGTGAAGACTTCAAACATGTCTTCTTAAATCTGATGATGGTTTTCTATCCATAGTGCCATAACATATTTTGGCAGAGAAAGTAAATGACACAGAAGATTGAGCTGGATTAATGTGTGCTGGATTAGGGAGGGCTTCATGGAGGAGGTGGGCCATGGACAGGATCTTGAAAGATATGAAAAATACAGATGCATTCTTCGCAGAGGGTAGTAATAGTGAACATTTATATAGAATTCTAATGTTTACAAAACACTTTACATTTTATTTGATCCTCAAAATAATCTTGTGAAGAAGATATTTTCACTAATCCCCAATTTGCAGATGAAGAAATTGAAGCTGGGAGAAGTTGTAACTTGCCCAAGGTTACTCTAAGGTGAGATTCAAACTCAGGTCTTTCTGTCTCCCAAGTACAATACTAGCTGCTACACCAGACAGATAGGTGAATAGTGTTGGGGCTGAGAAGAGACCTAGAGGAGAAAGGCCTAGGTCAGGAAACGTGTGGCCTTCTAGGTCCTTGGGTGCGGCCTTTTAATTAAGTCCAAGTTTTATAGAACAAATCCTTTTATTAAGGGGATTTGCTCTGTAAAATTTGGAGTCAATCGAAGGGCCATACTTGAAGACCTAGAGGGTCACATGTGACCTTGAGGCCACAGATTCCCCATCCCTGGCCTAGGCTTTCAGGGTGACTTGAGTAAAGATGAGGATGAGGATGGTAGAGCTATTATTATTCAAAAAGCCTGAGGCCATCAGCTTAGTCTTGATTTTGTCTTGCCACTGGACTCCTATGAACCTGGAGGAGAGAGTGAGGCTGAACACTGAGCAGCTATCCCTGCCTCACTTAAATCCAATTCACAGGCAAGTTAAGACACCCTCCTGATGTAATTGGTCCTTTTGCAGAATGAAGTCTTTTGCAGAATGAACCAATAACAATAAAGGGCCTTAAACCAGAACAGAGACTCGGGATGGCATTAGGGAGCCATGAAAGATCTTGAGCAGAGCCATGACATGGTGAAAATGCTATTTTAGGAGTTTAGAACTAGAAGGGTCTTTAGAAATCTTGTCCAATTCCCTCATTTTACATTTCAGTTTGAAGAGTTAAGCTAACTGACCAAGGTCACTTAGTTGGGTGTAGCAGAGCTGGATCCAACAGCTTGTGAAGGATGGACATGGGTGGAGAGAGATCAGTTAGGTCTATGGCAATTATATGGGAATGAGATGATGAAATCTGGACAAGATGGCGGCAGTGAGAATTACAGGACGTGGAAAGGTGGTGAAAGATTTCAAAAGAAGAAACAATAGGACTTGGCAACTGATGTAGTAGGTGAAAGGGGGAGAGCAGTCAAAGATGTCTTGGAGAATGGAGAAAATGGTGATGTCACAGAGAGCAATCATTGGGAACTACAGGGCAGGTGTGAATTATGGAGGAGGAGAGGAGGATATCCCAGTTTGGCATGGGGCACATTGAATTTGAGTTTCTAGGAGAATATCTAGTTGAAGATAACCTACAGGCAACC